GGCGGGACAGCAGCGCGGCGACCGCGTGCGGCGCGGCGCCGATGGCGGAGCTGGTGATGTTGCCGGCCGAGTCCACGGTGGTGGCAAACAGTCCAGATAGGAGGGCGAGCTCGCTGTTAGGGGGCGGTGGCGGTGCAGGTGTCGAGCTGGTGGGTTGGGTTGAGATTCGGGGTGAAGGCTAGGAGTGTCCATGCGAGTGGGCCTGCGGCATCCTGGTTTGAGGATAAGGCTCGCATGCATGGCGTGGCACGCACGCTTGTGTGGGCGAGTGTACCTAGCCACACGCGCATGGCGCGCACGCGCGCCTGTAAGTCCGCACATGCAGCCGCTGTCATGCGCGCGTGCAATGTACAGCAATGCGCGTGCCGCCCAAGACGCGGCCGTGCACGCACCCAGGTTGTCCGTCCGCCAGAGCGCCGCAGCGAGCGCGAGCGCCTGCACGCGCGCTGCGCCCTTGAACGCGCGCTGCCTCCTCGGGTCCTGGGCCTCGGGCGTGTCGCGCCCCTGCTCATCCTTTGGGCTGCACCGCGCCATGAAGATGAGCGGCGCGCCAGTCATGAGCTCCGCGCTGCCCATGCGCGCCGCGCGCCGCCACACCAGCGAGTCGCCGACGCTGAGCGCCGAGACGAGCGCCTCGAGGCAGCAGGCGGACATTTCGAAAAACTCGGCGCCACCGCCGCGCGACGGCGCGCCCCCGAATCCATCAGCTCGCCGAGGCCGTTCCAGATGGCCGCAAACGCGTCGGCGTCGGCGTCGGTGACGTCATCAGACGTAAGCTTCGGGGCGGCTTCCACAAAGCGCGCGTGCTCGGACTTGACGCGAGGGAGGGAGCCCGCTTTGAGGGCGGCCGCGAGGCGCGACAGCGACATATCGACCTGCACCAAGCCATGGGCAGGGGTGCGGAGGGCGGGGTTGCCGCGATTGCCGCGAATTGTGGCGGCATCGTCGGGGCCCGTGGATGTGCAAGTGGTCATCTATCTAGGCAGACTTTTGAACTCAGGATGCTCTCACCCACAAGCACCAGGCCCAGGTTGCACTACGCCCAATGCGGCGCTTGGCACCTGCGTCACCGGCCAGCGTGCTGCGGCGCTGCAAATTTCTGGACCAGCTGCCACCTCCGACAGCTGATCTGGAATCTTTGACAGACAACGTGACCCTTACACCGGTGGACAAAGCGTTTAGCCGAAGATCACAACTTTGCTGATCGCGCGCGTTTCTGCGTGCGATACACGAAACGGATGTTTGAGGATTCGAAGGCTGCGGAAAGTTGAGCTTCAAAATCAGTGTGATATACGCGCCAACGCATACCCACAACATGGCTCCCAGCGCACATGGCAGGGCACCAGGCCTTGAAGGCGCCGACCGCGCGACTGCAGTCAGGCAGTGACGTTGCGCCGCTGACGTGCGTGCCACTGGACACAGACTAGCTGCGTAGCTAGGGTGAATCTGGGGTGAGGTTGCATGTGGCCGGACCCTCGCGGCGGTCAAACTCATGGGGGGCATTTTTCCTGGGCACGTGGGCACGTCGTGCTAGGTGCAGGGCACTCCTCCACAGTCTGGACGAGCAGACAGCTTCCAAGCATGGCTTCACTCCTTTCAATGCATGCTGCAATGAGCTGCTGGCCTCCAGATGGTCGGCATTGCGCGGCGAGCCTCGCCACTGTGGCGGCCAGCATCACAGAATGTGGCGGTTGTTACCACATGCGCCCCCACTGCAGTTTTGCCAGCACTTGTGCAGATCGAGTGGGTGCGGTCAGCTGACCTCGCAGAAGGAGTCGCGCTGCCATGCCGTCCATCTTACGCGGGTCCATCTGCAGCAGTTGTGGGCCGCTGAGCTGTCTCAAGTTTGTATTGGGATTACTTGCCTTTGAGTTGGTCAGGGTACCTTCCGGCATAAATTAGTACTGGATGTGACGCCCTACATCAGGTGTATCACTTGTGCCACCAAAATGGAAGAAGCTGCGTATTGTCCAACACTGGGCAGGGTGCACACCGTGCAGCCACCTCTGTGGGGAGCCGTCAGGAGGCAGTCAAGGGGTTTCAGGCCCAAAAGTTGACTCGCTGCAACGCTGCATCATGGAACCTGCAGGCAACCCCAGACGAATGGCAAGCGTCCCGCCCGGACTTTCGCAGGGTGCACGGGCCTTGGGCGCGCCGCCCAACTAGCGGCGCACGCCCGGCGCGCGCGCACATCGCGGGCGTGTGGAAGGCAACCGTGCCGAGTCTACCCATGTCATTGCAGCCGCCTACCCTGGCCTTGCATGTTACTATTGTTACCGCGACATTGGCGTCGCGAACCGGGAACTGACCTCCACCAGCCTCATCTGCAGTCACGACTGCAAGGACCCGTGTGGAACAGGACAGACCTCGCCTTGTCGCAGGTTACAATTTAGCAAGGAATTTCTGGCTTAGCGTGCGGCGCAGCCTCAACCAAGAACCGCCCGCACAGCCACAGGCTTTTCCAGCCCGCGGGCCGAGCAGCAGCAGCCATGGCGTTTCAGGTACGTCTTCAGCTGCGTTTGTAGCCGGTCAGGGTGACGGCACTCTGTCGCTGCGGCCGCTTCCACGGGGCAGCCGTCGCGGGCTCTCACTGTATGGTAACCCATCACAAGGGCCATCCCGGATCGTGCACGCCACGCCCGGCAAATGCACGTCGTCGCAAATGCAGAGCGTACTGCTCGTTTCAGCCGGGCCCCACGCCATCGCCCGGCGGTCAAAGCCCATCACGCATTGCCGCTGACCGCTCAGAGGTGCGCGTGGACAGCACAGCCCCCCTCCCCTCCCCGACCGGCGTGCACCCCGGCCGCCCGCGACCCTCTGTTTCTGTCATCGCCCGGCCCCTGCAGGACTACTTCTCGATCGTGGCGTTCTTCATTTTCCTGAGAGAGACGCTGGAGGCGGCTGTGATCATTGCAGTGCTGCTTCAGGTTATGAACCGCACCATGCCGCGCCTCAAGCGCCAAGGTGCGCACACATATGCGCGCTCTTTGTGCCCAAATGGGCCCAGTGGAGGAAGGTCTGCGCGCCACGGCCCGCCACGGCCGCTCTGCAGCGCACCGTGCGTGCGGGCGGGCGGCGCCCGCGCAGACGCAGGCGCAGCCACGCTGCGCGCACGCTTTGGGCTGCGGCGGAGCTGCGGGTCGCCGCTTGCGTTTGAAAGGAAACTGAAGCTGTCGGGCTCCCTTCCCTGGGGCTCCCGCACCCGCAGTGTGGTTTGGCGCGGCCGCCGGCATTGGTGTCAGCATCATTTTCGGTGCCATCTTTGCGGGCATCTTCTACGCGGCAAAGACGCTGCTGTTCCAGGGCACAGCCAAGGCCATCTTCCAGGTGCGGCCTGCAGCACTGGGCTCTGCGCGCACTGCACGCGGCAGCCGGGCGCCGCACGCCCACTGCCGAGCTGGCAGGCTCCGAACGGCGCAGCGGCAGCTGCTGTACAAGCGTGCGTGAGGGGCCCCTATAGCTTCCTGCACCGTCATAAAAACAAACGGCTCTCCGCCAGCTCCCTCCCTGCGCTCCGCCCGCCATCACAGCACACCCACCCCGCTCATGTGTCACCCGCGCCCGCCCACGCGCACACCCCAGGGCGTCATCTCCTACGTGGCCGTCATCCTGATTAGCTACCTGGCCTTTGCCATGCTGCGGTTTGCCAATGTCGAGGAGAAGTACGCGAAGAAGCTCAGCGTCGCCGCCAAGAACGTGAGCCGACAGCAACAGCAGGGCTGGGTGACAGTGTCAGCACACCCCCGCCGGGCACCCGGCGGCGCGGCGGAGCGCTTCGGGGATTGCACCTCGCCGAGCGAGCCCGGGCGGCTGCCTTTGAGTAGGCTGATTGGCCGCCGGCAAGGGGGCCCGCCGGCCGGGGCTCACCGGGGGACCCCCTCGGTTGCCCGCGATTCCTGCGGTGCAAGCGACACCATGCCCACCCCCTGGACTGCCCGCGCGCCCTCCCGCCGCGCAGGCCGCCGCCAACTCGACCAACCCCGACGGCGCCCGCTCCAAGGGCTACTCCGCATTCGTCCTCGCCTTCACCGCCGTCCTCCGCGAGGGCATCGAGGCGGTTATCTTCCTGGCCGGCGTCGGAAGCCAGACAGGCATCGCCTCCATCCCCCTGGCGGCCCTCGCGGGCCTCGTCGTCGGGCTGGCAGTGGGGCTGGCGATCTACTACTCGGGCCGCGCGATCAAGGATCTGAAGATCTTCTTCGTGATCTCGACAATCATCCTGTTCTTCATCGCGGCCGGACAGGTGGGGGCATCACGAGCTGCGGTCCTCCCCTCGGTTGCCTTGCTGCAAGTCAAGCTTTTCAGGGCTGCGCTGCACGCCTTGAGACGCCCGCAGCACCCCACTAGCCGCTGGTTTGCCTGACCGGCTCTTGACCTCCTGGCCACCCTGCCGCCGCCGCTGCTCGACTCCACAGGTGTCGCTGGGCACGCAGATGCTGTCGCTGGCGGGTGCATTTGGCCCCTACGCCATCTGGCAGGACCAGCTGACCTGGCAGTACTACCCCGTGGCCGACCTTACTCACTGCTGCGGCGACGAGCTGACCGCCCCCAACAAGTTCTTCCCCCTCGCGCACGCCGTCGTCGGGTGCGCATGCGCGGCTGTGGCTCGCGCGCCTTTGCGTGCCTTAGCGCCAAGCGGCGCGGCGGGCCCGCGTCCGCCGCGTTGCTGCTTACGCTGTGTCCGCTGGAGCGCGAGCCTGCGTGCACGTGACCTGCTTGCACCGGCCCAACATCCATCTCACGCCAGCCCTTCCTGTCCGACAGCCACACCGCACCCCACACCCCCAACCCCGACCGGTCCTTCGCGGCAACCATCACTTAACCCCACACCCACAACCGCCCCGGCTTCCCCGCAGCTACCAAGCCAAGCCGACGCCCATCATCCTGATCCTCTACTGCACCTACTGGGCAGTCGTCACCGCCGTCGCGTTCTACAAGTGGCGCAACGGCAGCCTCTTCTACTCCAACGCTGAGGCCAAGCGCAAGCGCACCGCCCTCAACCTCGACCGCGCCGCCGCCGCCGCCGCGCGCCGCGCCAAGGCCGCCGAACGCAAGCTCGCGCGTACCGAGGCCGCCGCGGAGAAGGCGCGCGCCGCCGGCGCGCCGGACGCGGCGACGAAGGCCGACGCCGCCGCGGCCGCGCGCGGCGCGCTCGAGGCCGCGCGGGCTGAGGCGGACGCGGCGCGCGCGGCGCATGCCGAAGAGGTCGCGCGGCTCAATGCGGAGGACGCGGCGCTGATGGCGGGGGAGAGCACGAGTGAGGGCAGCGGTGACGACGCGGCGGTTGCTGTGGCCGGTGGCAAGGACGTTGAGATGGCGGGTGTGAAGGACGCGGAGGTCACCCCGGCCGGTGACGCGGTGACGGGTGACCAGGAGGCGAAAAAGGGCGGCTGGTTTGCCGCCAAGCTGCGCGCGGCCAGGCGCGGCTGAGCGCGGCGCGCGCTGCTGCCTGCGAGTGCTGCCTCCTGTCTCGACAGCTGCCTTAGCCCCAGCGGCCTTGCCACCCAGCTGTCAAGAGGTGTCGTGCTACGGCACGCGAACGCGGCGGGCCGGCCGCTTCCGCCACCTGCCGCGTCATTGCCGCTGATTATGAGCCAGCGACGGGTTCTTCACCGTGGCTGCTTTTTTGATTTTGACTGTCCGCCCGGATGGCGCGAGCTCGCAGCCTCCAGCTTGGGCATACCCTACATATCGGTCCAGCGGGCGTGTGCTCCGGCCCCCATCGCGCCGGCGGCCCGCCTTTGAAACAGGCGCCCCCGCACCCACGCCCCGCATCACTGCAGCACTGCCACTTGCATACTGCACACGGATTCCTCAAACCAGATCAGGCCCCTGGGGATGTCGTTTTACGCACTCATTGGCTTCTCAGCAGGTTTCAGCAACTCGAGCGTCCCGGCCGATCGCACGTTATCCCTCCCCTGTGGCCAGCCCGCGGCGGCCTTTGTGCGCCACGCCCCCTTGATCCCGCCTCAGTGTCAGTCTGGGCTTGCGCGCCGCCGCGCCGTCCGCGCCCGCCCCAGCCAGTCAGCAGTGTGGGTCTTTTGAGGGACGCCTGAATTCGAGAGCCGCCGCAGCCCCTGTCTGCATTTACGACCGGCCGGGCCGCCCACCGGGGCGCGCCTGACGCAGCAACCGCTGCAAACGGGGCTGTTGATTCCGACCAAAGCTGGTCGCGACACGCCTTACCCTACCCCCCGCAACTTTCAATGCCCAGTGTTGTGGTCCTGCGCAGCCAAGCAGCGCGCACGCCGCAATCGGCGCATTCATAGCACATACAAATTAGTAACATACATGCTTCTGACCGCTGACGCTGAGATATCGCAAGCCACGCATGTGCGGTTCAGTTGGGATGCTCAAAAAACGTGGGACACTGCAGCACTGAAAACGACAAGAGTGAAACACACACACATGCACAGGCCAGCCACCGACGGCCGACACACTCGAGAGCGACGCGCGCAGCAGCACGGGACCGACCCACCGCCGGCGCATTTCTGCGCCGCAAGCTGAAACTGCTGTCATCACTTGTAACATTTGAGCTCTACGCCTGCCCTTCAATCCAATGCAGGCCAGGACAAAAAATACAGCCCACACCACAAGCTCGTGATGGACACCAAAAATCAGGGACGCCCAGATCACTCCCAGATCTGCTAGATCACCTACATCACGCCCGCCTCGTTGTGCAGGCGCTCAACCAGCTCCCTCACGCTGCCTACCATGACGCCCCCCTTGCGCTTGGACGGCTCCACCACCTGAGGGGCGGGCCGCGAGGGGTCGCGTCGCGTCGCGCGCTTTCGATGTCGTCAAAGGCGCGGGCGGCTGGCCGGGGGGCGCTTCGGGTCGGTTGCATCTAGGTCGCAGCTTGAGCCCGAGAGTAGCACTCGGAAGAAAGCACCCAAGTGCATCCTTCAACAAGCATGACCCTCACCCCCTGGTGACACACATAGACACTCACACATGATCACAAACACACACGCACGCATGCACACATACACACATACACACACACACACACACACACACACACTCACTCACACATGGTCACACACGTGCACACACGCGCATACACACGCACGCACGCACGCGCACGCACACACACGCCCACACACACACACACACACACACACACACACACACACACACACACATGCAAGCAGCCTCAGAGGCATGCCCATCCGCCCCCACCTCAAGCGTCTCGTAAGCAGGCGCAGTGTCCACCCCCAACTGCTCCGCACTGAGGGCCTCTATCGGCTTCTTCTTGGACTTCATAATGTTTGGCAGGGTGGCATACCTGGGGCAAGGGGTGTGGGAATTGGGCAATGAGAATCAGGTTGTCCCAAAACAGTTGGAGGTGTATGAGACATGAGAAGCAGGGCGGGCAGCTGTCGTCACCCGCGTTGCATCCTCCCGATTGACCGCTGCTGCAGGGCGCCTCGCCGCCCTTGGCGGGCCCGGGGCGGGCCCCCGCCCGGCCCCAACGGCCGTCGCCATGCGGCGCGTCCCTGGTCCCGTGCCCGCGGGGTCGGCCCCTGCACGGCCACCACAGGCGCACAAACAGGCATTCCTGTTTGCCGCCCCACCCCACCCCGCCCAGGCCGCGTCTGACTGAGACGCGGAAGACCCCCACCCACCTCGGCGTGTTGAGGCGTAGGTCGGTCGTGACGACGGCGGGCAGCGCGCACGCCAGCGTCTCTAGCCCGCCGTCCACCTCGCGCGTCACGGTCGCGCGCGCGGCGGCGGGGTCGAGGGCGAGCCGGGAAGCAAAGGTGGCCTGAGGCCAGCGCAGGAGGCCGGCCAGCATCTGGCCCTGAGGGGGCG